ACAGAAACACACACTTACACTCACACAAACATTACACACGCACACACGTGCACACACATGCATGCCAAACACACGTGCGCGCGCACACACACACACACACACACACACACATACACACACACACACACACACGCACACATACACACTCACACGCCGCGACACAGCTGTCAAACAGTGAGTTTAAAAAATAGTGTCGCGACGCGGTGAAATCAGGCGCCCGTCGTCAATTTTTGGGGCATATAGAGTTATAGGTGTCATCTTATAGCGTGTTCATTTGTGTCTCTCTGTGTGTTAGTGAAAAAAGTAACCGTCTGTCTTGATGAGAAGTTGAGATATTTGTGCCATGATGCGGTGGAATCGGGCGCTCGTCAATTTTTGGGCATCTGGAGTTATTGGTTACGTCTGAAAGCTGATTTATTTGCCTTGCTTTCAAAGACATACGAGGGGCATACCAAAAGTTTTTATTACCTGACCATGAAGGAATAAAGGTAGAAGGCTGGAATTTTGGGTGAAAGCCAACATTCATCTTCCTAGAATGCATGTAATTGTAAAGTTTGGGGAATTTCCAATGACTGGTTTTACCACCAGCGCACTGTGAGTGAATGGGGGTCTGTTGTTCTCCAGTTTCCACATACAAATGAAGAAAACTGAGCACAGGGCAGTAATGAAGTTTTTGTTCTTTCAAGGCAAGCAACAGCAAGATAGTTTTACGAATATGCATGCCGCATGGAACGAACTGATTGCCCATCCTATGCTGTGATGAAAAATTCAAATGCAGATTCGTTTGTAGGCATTAGAGGGCTGGTTTCCTGATAGAGAGAGGGTCCTCTATTCTCAAGGTCTTTCAAGGTCATACACTGATGGCAAAAATGTGTGACTGTGGGTGGTGACTACAGAGAGAAAGACTAAGCTTAGTGACAAATTTCAGCTTTCTACCTTTCTTCCTTCATTGTCAGGTACAAAACTTTAGGTATGCCCCTCGTAAATATCCATTTATCTTGAAAAGAATTCAAGACATTTGCGATTGAAGGAAGTGAGTTGCCATGGCTCCAGTGGCGAAATTAGCGAAAAAATGGCCCCCTAAGTTTGGTAACTCCAATAGCTTAAGAGTCTTTGAAAACTGAAAACTGACATATTTTGTGTCTTTAATCAATGTTTTTCAGTTGAGTTCACCTGGAAATGTGTTTATATTATATGGACCTAAAAGAGGTTAAGCCAAAAAATAAAAATTCCATAAAAATTCCCAAACTGGCAAAAAAATGCCTGTTTCTCCGATTTCTGTATTTTGACGAGCGCCTGATTTCACTATGCTCCCTCACATTTGACTATGAAGGAGGGGTGGGGG